AACACCTGCCTGTGGCGGAATGGAAGGAAGGGAGGAAGGAAGGGAGCTTCTCCCCCGCCCTCCGTCCCTCTCCGCGGGCGGGCAGGGCAGCACCCGCCCAGCCCTGGCTCATCCCCCTGCGCTGCTTACCTGCTGCTGCTTGCAGATGAAGTATCTAATGTCTAAGCAGTCCCATTTAAACCCGCAATCAAATTACAGGAACAAAATTAGAAGCCAGACTGGAGCCACTTTAAAAGTTGCCCCTTATTTAATAATTCTGTCGCAGCTATTTTTTCCTCTTATCACCATTTATTCTCATTCTGAGGCTCGTCTGTAATAACAGAGGAGGTTCATTTGTGCTCCCCCTCCTCTTTCCAACGTCTAGTCTTTCTTTGTGGATTTAATTTCTGCCTTGTGAAAAGGCATTAGAATAAATAAAACAAAGATGCGGTACTACAGGGATCTACATTAATGGGATGGCACCACACTCAGCCCTTCCACAACCTGCCCTTTCCCACATGACAGACGTGAATCGAACGGCTGGAATCCCTATTTCAGCCCTGCCCCATGCCTTTAGGTATCAATCTATCAAGCGTGGAAGAAGAAATTGCAGTGCAGCTCTTTCTTTAAAAGCAGCGCCTTGCAGAAGAGGAGCCCGGAGGAAGTGCCGGGGTGATTTGGGAGCGCCGTGTCCCCTCTAGTGGGGTCTGCGGAGAATTGATGGAGCAAAGGAGAAGAGAGCCTCAGCTTCCCAGCCCATGGGGGAAAGGAGGGGACAGTGTCCCCCTCCCTTCCTGCTCCTGCCATCCCTGCTCCACGAGGCCAACAGTACAGGCATGGAGATACTGGGACTGTAGGGATGCACAGCCCCAGCTGGGAGCCGGCTTGCACTGAAGGAGCCAGGGGAAATACTGTTGTGATAATTTGCCTATCAATTAAAGATGTGACTTGATGAGAGGTTGGATTGACTCACCTGGCTGGATTTTCATCTGTTTCCAGATATTGCTGGGATAAAAATAAATGCATTCATTTTCTCGCTAACCCTCCAGCATTTTAGCAAAAACTATTTTTAGAACCCTCATAAAACAAATCTATAGCTATTCTACAACAGGCAAACACTACTGTGTGCTTAGCAGCTGCTGTCCCCCAAACTGCTGTTGAAATCTACCTGTATTCAAAAAACCTCCAAAATAGTTTATGCATCATTTTGATGACAACTGCCCTGTGACACACCTGAATTCTTGTTTTGTGTGAACAAAGCATGGCACTAACTAATGTAATCAGGCAGGCTTTGCTGTCAGGAACTATAGCAGGTGTCACATACCCTAGAAGCTGCTTCAGGGTGATGCACAAACTCCCAGTGCAGCCTGTGCAGAAGAGTTATCCATTGGCATAGGGGCTGAGGCATGGCAGATCTCCATGAAGATAATTCAGGTTGGATGCAGCTTTCAGGGTTCAGGAAATCTTAGATTACGACCCAATCCATTCTGTGATTCTGCAACTTTTGGCCAGGAAGATGCACTCCTGACTGGGAACGTCCTGTGTAGCCAAGCCTCTTGCTGAGCATAGGGAGGGGCTGAAAGCTAGGGAAGAGTCAGTGCCAGGGGACGAGCCAGCTGGCTTCTCACTTTTCTCTGTGCCTCACCTGCACCCACTATTGCTCTGCCAAGTTCCTTTGCAGGAACAGCCACAGTGGCTTCAGCTGTGAGCAGGCTCACTGCTGGTGGAATGCTTTGACAGAGGTGTTTAAGATGACCAAGAGGCTCAAAGGCTCCATCCTGCAGCTCAGGGAGCTGGACAGGGGGAAATATAAATTATGAGCTGGGGGTGTGCAGCAAGCAAATCTGACAGCAGCATGGTGCTCAGGCCCTGCAAGCTGGGAAACAAACCAGGGTCAAGTGCTGGATGGGGCTCACCATCCCACCACTCTCAGGAATCTTCATGTGCTGGTCTTTCTTCCCCCATGCATGACCCCACCACCGGAGTTGTCCTTCTACTGTGCTTGCAGGTTATTTTCCTCAACTCTGTACTCACCAAAGCATCTACTGGGGTTACTGATGAGGCAGAACTGGCCATGGTACATGACTGAACACAGGGGCTCCGTGTCCCGCAGGACAAGCAATCTCACTTCTGGCAGGCACCAAGAAGAATACGAACCTTGGGTAGACATGATTAATAATCTCCTTTTCAGAGAGGGTCTCTAGCTGCGGGATTTGCATGGACTGAGCTCTTTAGCCTCCATTTTAGGTTTGAGCTCTGAGTGAGTGTGAGAATCCTTAAATAAAGTCAAAGCAGAAAGGCAGGTGGGTATCAGGCAGGCATTTAACCATCACAACATTACAAAGGAAGTGACAGCCGCACCTCGCTCCATTCACAGCTCCAGTCATTTACACATCAAGTAGGTGAATTCGAGAGTGCAGAAATAGACCTGTAAATATATGGAGATCCTGCTTTTGCAGTAGTTCATTTTCAAAGCACATCTACTCCTTAGCATGCATTTGGGGTCACACTCCATTTTACAGCCCTGCCCTGCTTCCCAAAACTAACAGTTTCAGTTTGCTAGCTTTCCTCTGCAAGTGAAGCATAAAATGCAAGCAAACACCTAACTTGTAGTGTTGTCACCGCTTTCATCTTGCTGCTAATTACTAATGCAAATTATGTACATATCTAAAAACGTCTTCAGTACATTCCTGCTACTTGTGCCTCTTAAAGTATATGTGGCAAATATTTCCATATTTTATACTTTTACATTCTACTACCCACATCCGAACCTTAAGGTAGGATATCCTTGTGATCAAAAGCGACGAGGCAAACTGGAACAGAGCCACTCCTCTTGTAAAAGATGAATTTATGATCTTCAGTGACAAGCCTTGTTGCACATCTTGATTTTTCATCTTACCTCAGGCAGTCCAGTGACTCCCGCATCACATGCTTTACCATCAGTTCACTTCTGATTTGTGAAATTCAGTTTCCCATGATTTCTTGAGTGCTGCATGAGAGGTAATTCTTTAAGGTTCCTGTCCAAGTAACAGTCTGAGGGAATGGTGTCCAGCTTGGGAAAAAACACTTGCATTCCAAGGACAAGCTTTAGTCAAAGGAGGGATACCAAAACTTTAAAGTGCCCCATATAGTGTAGATCCAAGCTTTCCAACCAGACTTCCCTCCAGCTGGTACTGCAGGTGTCCTCCTTACCTTGCTAAGCTGTGTTATTTGCATACTAGACAGCCCAAACCTTTCCCTTATCCTCCTCCACAGCTGACTGGCTCTTGAATGTTCCCACCCCAAAGCTCTGCACCTGAATTTTGCTCTTTCCAGCTGCCTCACTTTTTTCTAGCTCTTACGGTTCCTTGTGCTGCAGGCTGTCATTCCAGCCACATGCCTCTGCTCTCCACACTGGTCTGTCCATCACCTGCCTGAAAACCTGAAGGCTCCATCCATTTCCTCCTGCTGCCACTAACACCAGAAGGCAGTTGCTGCACACACCTGTGTTCTGGTTCTGATCTTACCACTCCCACTAAAATGTGTCTCTCTTCAGCTCCTGTAGTGCCTCATCCTTTCACAAGTCTCACTTGTGCTTCCTACAAAACATAAATCCCTCGATGAAGGCTTCAAGGCAACATGGCTGTGCTGCCATGCTCAAAGACTGCCGGATGGGTTGATGGTCAAATGGCCAAAAGAACCCAACAAAATTACAGATATGCCAGGGAGCCCCAGGAAATTATCCATTTAAAAGCACTTGACTGTGAGCCTTAAGATTCTGCAAGCTCAGGTTTTAATGAATGCTAACAAAACAGGCATTTTCATTCCTGAAAACGTCTGCCCATGCATTAATTCCAGATGTGTTTAATCGCATTTAGTCCTGTTTTCATCCCAGTGAAAAAGCTGAGTAACTGTGATCTGGAAGGGGTGGGAATCTGAGGAACCACAATGACCACAGAAAGCATTTCAGACAGAGGCTGGCACACCAGTTCAGCACAAACACTTGCAGCAACCTTAAAAAGCTAACTTTTAAAAAGAAAGGCCAGCATTGGTTTAATCCAAGTGAAACCAGATGATGACATTTCTCTTGCTTAGACCCATTTTTCCATGATCAACACATATTAATTCACATTTTCCATTTCCATTTCACAATCAGATACAAACAGGGAGCTCCTTGTGATGGTTGTGAACATTTTATTATAGAGTCTTATCAACAAGTTCTCTGAAAATCAGTTATTCAGAACTAAAATCTAATCTGGCAGGGTTCAATAAGTCACAAGATGAACTCAGCCATAGCAAACAAAATATTACTAAGTTACTTTAAATAAATTTTATCACAACAACCTCAGGAAGAGTGTGTCCTGGAGATTTAGGCAGTTTATATTGGATTTTTATTAATATTTTGGATTCTTTTTGTTATGCTCTAGCCTTGGTACACAGCTGTCTTCATTTCGATGTTAGAATGGGATAGATCCTTGGGTGCCTTTATGCCTGTTATTGTTGTCTTATTTTATAGTGCTGTAATAAAAATAGCATCATCAGCATTCAGTTTTCACCACAGTACATTTAAGCAACTGGTCACTGCACTGAAACAGAACTTCTGGAGAAACTGAGATTATTTCCAGGCAGTAATTGCTCACAAAAGATCTAGCTCCCAAGTCTTTTCAGCCATTCATTTTCTGTTCAGCACCTCCTATGACATTTATTAAAGTAATTTGATCAGATTACATTGCACACAGTAGGACATTCAGAATTCCATCTCGACCTTCACAGTAGCATCTAATACTTCCTGGAGGATAACACAGAATCCTTATACATACAAACAACATTCTCAGCTTGCAGCTGCTTGTTGACCAACTTCAGTTAATACAAGTTAATACAAGGAAACCTAAGAACATTGAGACATTTGAAAATAAGCATTAATGTACTTTTAAAGTATTTTGGATCATTTACCTCAACTTACTAATAACTCTTGATTTCTAGGGCTTAATTGCACATGATTTTAAAAAAAAGCAATATAATGGCTTAACATTAATAAAATATAACATTAAAGATTTTTTTTATTGTGCAAAACATAAGCAATAAGCCTTATTAGTACAATAAGCTGAAAAAGCAAGGTATATTTAAAACAATATTTACATCCAGTGTGCAATTTTTATCCCTACTTCCAACTTTTGATGTGGAATCTACAATTCCCATCAGTAAGTGCTATTTGAAAATTCCAACAATTTGTTTCACCTTTTATTATTTGAAGGAGACTCAAAATTTGTTTTTGCATTAGGTTTTTATGCACAACTAAAACAGCTGTTTAAGTTGATAAACACAAAATAAGACACTGAAAAGGGGGAAAAATAACCAACATGCTAAAGGCATCCACCTAAACGGTGGCATGACCGATAATTTATAGCTTATATTAAAAAACTGAATTGATAATTGCTAATTCTGATTTTCCATTTTCAAGATTTTAGCAAATAACCCAAAATTTTGTTTTACAGTTCTGGCATCTGCTAATTGAAAAAGTAATTTAATTCAATTTTTTAATTAAAATATTTATCTTGCTAGATATGAAGTGCTACCAGTCAAGGCAGTCACAAAAACTGTTTGATGTTTACATAGCACCGTATAGACAAATATCTCCTTCAGTAAGAGAGACTATGTTCTGCTGGGGAACATAATCACATTGTCTCCTGAATATTTTAGGCATCTTTGCCTTCCACATCATGAATATGTGCAACTATTCCTTAATTTGAGAAAAAAATGCACATAATTCAAGCTTTCAGATGGTGCTATCATGAATTCAAATTCTCTTTGTATAAAAGTATCAAGAACTCTTCAGTAGTCAATTTAATATTCAAAAACAGACCAATAGTTTTATGTAAACTTGTTAAAAAACAAACAACCACATTATTTGGCTTTAAAGTGACAAAGTATTTTTCTTAATATAATTTACTAGGCATGTGAAATACTACCATGGAACTATAATTCAAAAAACAACAGAGACTGGACTATCTCTGATATTGAAATACTCAATTCAAATATATAAAGAATCTCCAAAACATGTAATTGCAATTCATTGCAGTGGTATTGTTCATTCCAATAATAATCCTTCCTATAAGGAGGCTGAATGTTAAATAAAATACATTAAGCTGTTGTAGTTCCCAATTAGAGAACATCAATATTCTGCCTCTGCCTCTCCTTGAGCTCAAATTCACTAAAATATGGACTAGGCTTTCTACTGAAAGAAAATGGGAAATAGGCTCACTATCCAGATGGATATCTCCTAGCCCTAATCAAAACCTTATCAGCTTACCCACAACTGTTAGATTTAGACTAGTAACATATCTTACAGTAAAGTGTTAAAAATAGGTGGAGTAACTAACAAGCCATCTTCTGTATTTTAAATCACAGAAATCTGCACATCAAAATATTTATAGAAGCATGAGTGCTGGTGACATCATCGACTCTTACAAACTGAGTCTTCCGTAAAAGGTACACAGATGGAAAAGGATGCCTTGAGATAAATGGAAATAAAATCCAACAGAAGATGGATTTCCCAATATTGAGCCTCAATTCCTTATAAACTAACAAACATATTTCAGTGACAGACATTGCTTATTATTTTGGCCCCATCCCTTTCTCAAAATCATTTTCATAAGCTGTTACCACTCCAATTAAAAAACAAACCTTCTTAAAATATTTTATATGGAGTTCTGGGTTCCAAAAATAAAATACATACGCAGTTTCATATTATTGCTATGAAACATCAGCTAAAAAAAACGAATGTTCATAAAGAAACCAAATTGCATTTTGTACATTGTATCTCTATTGATACAGTTCCCCATGTTGGAGAATTCAGTATTTTTAGAGAGTTCAACATGTGCAAAGTTCAATTAAATTTTGAAGAAAATTCCAGTTTCAAAAGTTACATGTAATTTTGTATCTGACAGGACAATTTAAAAAAAAAAAAAAAAAGCTGTACAAAGTTAGCTTCAAACCTCTTCATTCCCCCCAAAAATAGGCACTCAGTGGTTTAAGTGTGCAAATGGCTTCTTAGAAGAAACAGTGTGCAAACAGAGCCTGTTCCATTAGCTCTGCATTATTTAGTGATTTCCTAGAGGGCATTGCCATTAAATGCTATCTATGTATGACTTTCTAAAGAACAGAGGACATTCAGTCCACAGAGTCACAGATGTCTTTCACTTTCTCGTTGAAGTCTTCGGGTTGATCAGCGTACACGTAATGACCCGCACCGAGGATAGCCTGGAGGATGAAGGTGAAAAAGCACGTCAATATCACAAAAATGTAATAAACAAATAAATACTGGGACAAGAGAAGAACCTGGCTTTTACACATTACCTAAGAGTTGGCATTACACAACCTAAAAAACATTCTAAACATAAGGAATACCAAATTATTCTTTCCTTGTAAAGAAACTTTACAAGGAAAAGAAAGTGAAACTACTGCTTATTCAACTACTCACCTTGTTGAAAAAAAACCCCACCGATGAAGCGTGAACAAGTCACTGCACATCAAATTTAGTACATATATATACCTTGCATATCAAATTTCTCTTGTATCTTGATTCCCTTTGCTCTCCACTCAAATAACCTATTTCTAGAATTTGTTATTCTCTGTAAAAATGCTCGAAGTAAACTGTCACCACAGTGTACAGAAAAGGTACTTGACCTGTTTTCTATTTTACAGTCAGTTCAAGACTAATCTTTAAGAAAACCCTATTTTCCCCTACCCTCCTAAAAACACCCTCTCTTAAGTCTCTAACCAAATCCCCTGCAAGTTATTGTTATGTTATTGTGTTAAGAACTCCCAGAAACTCAAAGTAAAAATTACTTGGGAATAAATGCATGTAACAAAACCACAGAATCCCTGTGCATTTTACCAAACACGGCACGGCCAGTCCACATCTCTGTCTCATTAGAGCCCTTGCCCTCCTATGGGTTTTTGAGCATACCTGCAATCTTACCACTCCAATTTACCTTTTAGAATCTGTATGTGGCTTGGCAAAATTTTAACCTGGAATACAATATCATTTCCACAGTCCCTTCCAAAAGTCCCTGACGAGAGTGGAAAAGAAATCTCCCTGAATGGTATAAGCTTATCCCAGCAACATATTGTACAATTTTTAACAGTGACTTTCTGTTACAACTCCCTCTCTCTGGTTAAGCAGTTAAGTGACAATTTCAGTCTGGATGTCAACATTTATGAAATGTATCTGTGCTCTTTAACACACTTAGAAAGTTGGATAACAATGTCTTTTCTGAGTTCCAGCTCTAAATTCAGCTGTATCAAGTTATAAAATTTTATTTGGGTGACTTCTTATAGTATACGATCAACATTACATACTGTACACTTCTGTCCAGATAGTTCCAGATATCAGTACCATCACAGCTGGTGTGTTCAAATATTTTATCACCTCACAGCATTTTAACATGTATGCATGTTCAATTTCACAGCTGACTGATGTGAAAATGTGTGAAGAATACTTTTAGTTTGTTTTTATAGAAATCAACGACAAAAAATGCAGTGTGCACATTCACATCAAGTTGTAAGTACGCACATTTTAAATGACAATATCATACCTCTAAACAAAAATGTCTTAGGTAGTAACACAACACTAACTATTTTTTAATGACTTAAAAAAAAAGATGCTCACAAGAACCTAAGCACCAGGTACAAACTACTCTCATATCAGAGGAACAAATGCATTATGTAGACAGATGAAGAAAGTTTATCAGAGCCTTTCTACTATCTTATATATATATATATATATATATATGGAAATAGTATGAGTGGTGTGGTTTGAAACTCAGTGACCACAATACCTACTTCTATTAGTATATTGTAGAACAAAATAAAGAATCCCCTTGCTCACAGATCGAGTTTGGCTTCTAGTGCTACAGCAAGTTTTGTTCTTAGCCTGGGGACTCAACACTTTTGTCTAGGTTTTCTCTGATGTAACATTTGTTTTCTCTCTCTCTCTCTGTTACAGAACACAGAACTTATTACCCCAGGCTCTAAATCAAAAGTGACACCATTTCCACAGCTGGTATGAAAAAAGAGAGTCATAGAATAGTTTGGGTTGGAAAGAACCTTAAGGCTCATCTAGCTCCAACCCCCCTGCCATGGGCTGGGACACCTCCGCACAGACGAGGGTGCTCAGGGCCCCATCCAACCTGGCCACATAGATATGACTTAAACAAATCCACACAAAAAACAAACAACTTCTTTAGAAGTCAAACTTACTATTGTCTTCACGTAGGAATTTGGTCTCAGAGACTGGATAGTGCTGCCAGAATTGCCATCTATACATGAACGTGCTCCATAGACCACCGTGATAGGAATGTCTCGATCCATCTGTGAAATCCGTTGCAGCATTGGCCTTTTTGCCCATCCATAAGGAATCGTCATGTTCTTGAAAGCTGTTTCACCACTTCAAGGCATTCAAAAGGGTAAAAACAATTTCAATTGCCATTGGACCTGCTTTTCATCTAAAATAGAGTATCCATGCCTTTTGGTAGCACAGAGTGCATGAGGTTGGGATTTTTTACAATTAAGAAAAGGAAGTTTCCAAGGTTTACATATAATTTTCAACAGGAAGAGCCCAGGTTTTTGCAAGACTGAGTGGTAGCACTTCAAAGAATTAAATGCCTTATTTTTAAAGTCTTTAAAGAAATTCTTTACACATTAAAATTCTCCAACAATTATTTAATTAAGTAAAATGCTCAAACTCTCACAGAATTAACACAAATTGAGAATAAATATAGAATTAGGATACTTTTTACATTTATCAGTATCTGGAATTCAGAAAAAGTGCAACGGTACCTTTTTCTTCAATATAATAGATGCCACAATTTTAAAAAAATAGCATGCACACTGCTGCCATGGCCATTGGAGGGAGTAGTAGGCACTCAGTAAATGAACAACAGACTTTGAAACATACACTGGGAAATTCATACTCACCTGGGTGACTGCACATTGCAGTGATAGATATATTCAGCCACAGTGTTATCATCAAACATTGATGAATATTTTCGCTTGAAATCTGGTCTTAAACGTTGAACAAGGCTTAATCCTGTTAAAACAGGAAACACTGTTAGAGGGGGAATGTGTATAAACTACTTTATCAGATTGCCTAATGCTTTTCATTAGAGCCCTGAGAACACATCCCCTAGAAACTTGTGGCTTCTAAAGCTGTATTTGGTTTTACCATTTGCATGTCTTAGCAAAACACGATGGAATTACACTTAACAGGAATGAAATATAAATACTGTAAAGAATTTTATGCTGCTCCCGCCACCAAATACATATGGGGAATGTTTGAGTAGGGTCACTACAGCGACAGAAGAAACCTACAATGGGGACCAGCAAAAGGGCTAAGCACTGTCTTTTTGTCACCAGTTTAGTCTCACACGATATCAATATGTTCTGCATGCACTGGCAGCACTGGGTAGGTTAAATGCACTACACTTTTCAGGGCCAGGAGGCACTGCTGAAAAAGCTGGGCTGTCTTCTTGCTTAAGTCTGCCTTCTCCTCTTACAGAACAGTCTGCTTCCGAAGCTAGTTCATCTAACTAGCGTGTGATTGAAATAACAGAAGTCTATGATGAAAAACAGGTGTAGAAATCTTAACATAAGGCACAACTACTGGTATAAATGAAGAGACTTAGTGCCGAAAACCCTTGTCCTTATGCTCTCCTAACAAGCCAATAGAGAAGCGGGTCTTTTCAGGGGCCAGTTCAGGCCTTCTAAACTTAAGCGTCTTTTCTGAATAATTTCTCTAAGAAGCCTCTTTTACATTGACCAGATGGATCTTTGGGACAAGAGCCTCACCACAAGGCTAATCTTAGTTTAAGAGTATTACTCGTCCCTAATATCTGATCTAACTTTTCCATTTGAAGTCATTACCCCCGTGCCATCACTACAGACCCTTGTAAAAAGCTGCTCTCCAGCTCTCTTGCAGGCCCCCTGTAGGTACTGGAAAGTTCCTACAAGGTGTCCCCAAAGCCTTCTCTTCTGAATTCCAACTCTTTCAGCTTGTCTTCATAGGAGAGGTGCTCCAGCCCTCTGCTCATCTTCACGTCCCTCCTCTTAACTATCTCCAAGGGGAATGTCTCCAATGCTCTTATACTGGGGCCCCAGGGTTGGATGCAGTATTCCACCTGGGGTTTCATGAGAGCAGAGTAGAGGGGGAGAATCACCTCCCTCAATCTGCTGGCCACGCTGCTTTTGATGCAGCCCAGGATGCAGTTGGCTTTCTGGGCTGCAAGAACACATTGCTGGATCATTTTGGGCTTCTCATCAACCAACACCCCAGGTCTTTCTCCTCAGGGCTGCTCTCCATCTACTCTCTGCTCAGACGTGGTCAGGACTGCCCTGATCTGGGTTCAGAACCTTGCACACAGCCTTGCTGAACTTCACGAGGTCAGCATGGGCCCACCTCTCAAGCCTGTCCATGTCCCTCTGGCTGGCATCCCTCCCCTACAGCTTGCTGCCCACACAGCTTGGTGCCATCAGCAGACTTGCTGAGGGCGCATTCGATCCCACAGTTTGTGCTGCTGCCAAAGGTGTGTAACAGCTGATCCCAACAGTGATCTGTGAGGAACGATACTCAGCACTGGTCTCTATGTGGACACTGAGCTGACTGTGACTATTCATACTTATGTTTCCCCTTTCTCAGACGGCCGAACTTCATACTGTTGTTAATCTGTGCAATTATGATGATGTCACTTCTACCCATCCAGTCCTGGGCAAAGGCCTGGTATTATTTATGTAGACCTTGTCACAGTGATCTATGTTTTCGTAACCTGGAGATTATTGCAACACGCCCTTACGCATGCTTGAAACAGATTTAGAAAACGAATACAGTGCAAGAGAAAATAATTCCCTTATGAAACAGTGATTTAACTCCCAAAGCAATGAAGAATTTGTAAAAATCTGGCAATTGGCTTTGCTCTGTTTTCCCTACATAGCGTACAATTGCTGGACTTCTTTTTCTGTGTGTTTGGGTTTTTTGGACACAAGTGAACACAGCTGGCTTGGAATAAGAGTACTTGGAAAAAAGAGACTAATTCTGTGCCTTGTCCCGCTAACAGCATAGAGGCCACGGCATGAAGTGTTATCAAATTTTAGAATTCACTGTCTGTTTTGGTAAGAAGTGCTTTGTCTGTGGGTCCAATTCCAAAACACTTTCCCCCTGTGAATTTACAGGGGAGAATGAAACAAGGATTCAAGGCAACTTGGAAAAAAATCTGGAATGAAATTAGACTGTAAATCATTGTTGTAATATTTATTGAAGAAATTCTGAATTGTCTGGCTGATGTTCTCCACAGTGTCTATCAAAATACTGTAAGAAATTCTAACACTGAAGACACAGATTTCCACAAAAACGGTGTGGTCACACTGACATTTCTGTTGTGAGGAATTTTCCGGCATCCAGCTCTAGAAATGGAATTCAGAAATCCAACCTAAGCATCAAACCCCCATCAAACTGTGAAACTCCTGGGTGACTGTTTGGTTAAGTGAAAGAAAACATGCAAATCAACTACCTGGAAACCACTCAAAGAAAAAACATCTCTGGATTCTGTCTCTCTTTCAGTTTTAAGTATTTGCCTGTGGGACTGATTAAACATCCATGGGATACTATTGTGATATCCCAATGAACTTGGTTCACATTTGAACTTAAAGCTTTGAATAAGAGCAATTGACTTTAGAGTGAAGTTCAATCAACTAAGTCTGCCCATCAGCTTAAACACATCTGCAGGCAGAACGAACCCAGGGACCAGTCAGTGTCTTCATCAGGTTAGGTCTGATGTCTACTTGCAGCAGTGTTTAGACCTGCCTTCTCTAAGAACTAAGTTTCACCTGTCAAGAACTTAAGTTGGTGATGGAAAACTTTTTTACCAGTGCAGTGAGAAACAGATGAAAAATTTTTTAAAGGCACTGCCCCCCATGGCAACCTATAAGCAAGGCTAGGTGTGGGGGCATCTTGCCAGGACAGAGTCTGCTTCTGCAGCACGGTTTGACTTCACTTATTGATAAGGAAGACAATTTCAGCTTTGAATTTTCCCATGTGGATGTGGATTGATTTATGCATGCTCTTGTTGTTGGATAGAACACATTAAATCAGTGCGTATCACTCAATATTTTCCAGGTTGTTTTGTTAACCAAATTAGTATTTTACTTAAAAAAAAAATAATCTGTTTGTACAAAACATGTTGCTTGTCTGAAAAACTAAATTTGTCACACTATTGAAAAGAAACAAACAAATCAGCATATGCAGCATATTGAAATATATATTCTATAGAAATAGATTTAAGAAACAGATGTGGTTTAAATGTAAACAATGCCTAGAAATCTCATGAGTTTATCTTCAGACTGAATACCAAAAATGATGAAGTTGTTAATTAATTATATTTTGTGAGGGATCTGAAGGATATATTTTTCCAAGCCTCTCCAGAAGATAATTCAGTAGCACAGAGAGTAACAGACAGATAACCTCTTTCTCCTCTAGAAGGAATAGCTATAATGACTTTTAGATTTTATTACATTCTTCTCCCCATTCCCCAGATGAACTAAAACCACAGTATTTTTGGTTAGCCCTACCTAGCCCTAGTATTAGGGTATAGAGAGTTTATCTACCATTCCATCAGTGCTGTTGAAGAAATGGAAATAAGAAGTGCCACCATAATGCAGGATACCAATGAGGCCCACAAGATTTCCTAGACTAGTAAGAAAATGGCTAATGGAAAGAACCCAGTTTCAACTTCTCTAAACTCGGGCCAAAGATTCTTGCATTTATGAGAGACTGCCTTCTAATGTTAAGGGCATTTGGAAATCCCATTTGCTCATCAAACTGAATTAGAAGGGGAATCTAAATGGACTGTGACCAGAGGCAACCAGAAAAAACCTTTCACATTCACACCGCTTTGTCATGTTCCCCAACAGACATCTGCAACACCCAACTCACTATAACTGAAGCCTGTACAGACCATATAGTGTAGCTTGCTGCAGACTATCATACTAGCACTTCTAATAGCAAGAGTTTGCCTTCTTTCCTAAAGAGTTCAAACTTTCTTCAACCTCTCTCACTTTCTCCTCCAACTCTTTCCTTCGCGGCTGATACAGACTTGCAAAAAAGTTGATCATAATGCGCTATCTGCTCCATGTTTATGTTTAACCAAAATAAGAAATGGTATTTAAGAGTAGCTAAAACTCACCAAAGGGTCCTGCTATTCTTAGCCCAGCTAATGGATTAAATGGACTCAATATAGCTCCTAGTGCTTTGATCCAGATTGGAATTGGTCTTTCGTGTTCAGCATTGTCAGGCCTCTCTGGAAAACCCCATGGCTCCACTAAGATAAGATGCTTGACCCTGTTGGCAAAAAAGGTTCAGTGGTTTAAAGTACAGTAGCTTTTCTTTAAGTGAGCATGATGAAAACGTGCTGTTTTACAGATACATAAATACAGCCTACTTTAGTCACTTCTATCACAGAGGCTTATTACCTAGTTTCTGATTCATCAACCGTTTTGATTTCAATTACTAATTAGAGAGTGAATTGCACCTAATCATACGTATGAACCAGAAACATGGAAGCATATGTCACCAAGAGATACTCAGTATATTACAGATACCCACTGTCACAAACATTTGAGAGAAAGGATAGTCTTGTTTCTGCTTTTAAAAATAACCTAATCTAAATGCTCATTATTTGCAGGAGCAGTTTAATTTGACAGAAAAGAGGATAATGGCATCTGTTTCATTAAAGCGAAGTTTCTACAAGTCTAAGATCTCTGTTCAAAGAAGAGACACAATTTAACTGAAAAAACATCAAAGTAAAATTTGAACTGAAAAAGGCAGAATTAAACTATCAGTCGTCTTCCAAATTTATTGATTTTAGGTCATGAAAGAAAACATTAAAGAGGCGATTTGTAAAATTATTACTCAAAGGAATATCAGTACAGAGAGCACTGTAGGAGTTTCCAGCACATGCAACTATTGATCACTTCGTGCTGTGGGTTCCCCTCAAGCAAAATTCTAATTCATCCTGGTAGATTAGAATTGTCCCTTTCCCTTTAATTGTCCCTTTTCCATTTAATCTCATAATAACACCTACTCTTACATGTCCTACATAGTGGTGATTTCTGGGAAAAAGTGACTCTTAACTATAGTTTTCCATTTTAAGATGGTTTTCCATTTCAGATTCCTCATTATCATTCTCTACAACTACCTGCCAGGAGGTTGTAGCAACGTGGGGGTTGGTCTCTTGTCCCAAGTAGCAAGGAATAGGACATGAGGAAATGGCCTCAAGGAAGTTTAGACTGGATATGAGAAAAAATTTCTTCACTGAAAGGGCTGTCAAGCATTGGAACAGGCTATCTTGTTCTATCTGGTCTAGTGGGATGTGTCCCTACCCATGGCAGGGGGGTTGGAACCAGATAATCCTTTAGGTCCCTTCCCATCTATATCATTTCATGATGCTATGCCCAGGGAAGTGATTGAGTACCCATCTTTGGAGGTATTTAGATGTGTGAATGCAGTGCTTAAGGACATGCTTTCGTGGTGCACTTGGAAGTGCTGGGTGAACAGTTGGACTTGATCCTAAAAGTCTTATCTAATCTAAATCCGTCTATGGTTTTTATATTTTTATCTTTAACTTTTTACCTTTTTATCTTTACGTTTTCCTTCATTACGTCCTTCACTGTTAAAGCCACCAGATTATATAATAACACAGAATAGTTCATCATGCCTAAAATGATGCCAGAAATTATCCCAAAAGTTTTTTCTGGATTATGATCAGTTGGGAAACCAAAAACCTGGGCTTGGAATGACGGTTGGAAAGGATTAACATAACAAAGACATTTCTTGGTTGTCAGCTCAGCTATGAGAATACTCGCACCCTGCAGCAAACAGCAACAGTAAGAGAGGACAGGGTAGAATCTAACTGTGCAAACCAAGCAAGAGAGATCAGAGACACAGCAGAGAAAGCCATGAGGAGCCATTCAGGACAGCCAAACACTCTGCACAAACTATGGCATTAAGTATAATATGGCAAACAAATCAATAAAAATAAAGTAACCTTCGTTTCACATTTCCGTTCTTAATACTTTCCTTCCTGTTTGGCATTTCTCCTTTTGGTAAACAAGCCTAAAACATAACCCAGTATAACAGGAAGTTGACCATGAGAATCACTTCCAAAGTAAATGTCCAGAAATTGCACTATTTGAAAATCATGGCCCACTTCAAGTTGGCAGTATGCTAAACAGGAATCTTTTTGGATTAGTAGCTTGGGATTTTCCATGGACTCTGGTACAGTGTAGCAAATTAACGGATCATCTATGCTTGGAGAAACAGATCTACTTTCCTAACAATATGTATCCAGAATCCTTTAAGCCTCTAATGCATTGTTAGATAACCTGACTGAAAGCTGTGCTATATTTATCACTTGATTCAATGCTCTTTTAGGACCCTAGCAGTCAATTTGTTATTTTGGTGGTCTTAGTTTAATTTCAGAAAAACATTAGTAATGTGAGAGCACAAACTGAAACATCTCCAAATTAATTAATCCCAACTTAAGCGCAGTGATGCATAAAAATAAAGCATCACTTTTGATGTAAATCAGCAGTGGGCAAAAACAATATTCCCATCCCACAGGGATAGGACAGTGCCATATACAGATACTTTGGAAAAAGAGGTAAGGAAATAAGTGATCCCTACAAAAAGCTAACTACAGTTAGCTAGAAGTTGGTTTATAACTAAAAGGCTAATAGGTTTATATCTTTATTGCAATTCTGGATTTAGAAACACACCTACTTTTACACATCATTTCCAGCCACTTGTGCTGTCCATTCAGAAAGAAAAAGGCAAAGTGTTGTAGGGAAAAACGATGCATGAAATTATTTCAAATATATCCAAGTGAGAAACAAAGAAACAGTGAAACTTGACACGAATAGAAAAGAATAGGATATGTTTAGTAAAATACAGAATTTGCTATATGATGTGGAGAGTTAAGCTTACATTCAGTTTTTCACAGGAGACCACTAAATGTACCCCAACAAAAGCAATGACATTTTTTGATACAGAATTGCCTCAGTTGGTAAAATCCTAGTTCAGCAGGGGATATGTAATTTATAACCCAATTTATAAAAGAAATTTCTACTTTAAGGGGGAAAAAAATATTTACTTTTGGACAAAATATGGTGCAGAAAATGCTGATGAAATAAAATTAGAGAACTGCTGCAGATGGGTTGTCTTACAAAGAAATATGAAGTGGTATACAGACAATTTAAGTCAAAGAATCACTAAAATAATTTTTACATCATTCTGCTGGCACCAGGCTGACTGCTAGGATATAGGCATAAATTATCTAGGGGAATTATATTCAGAAGTTTCAATGTTATCCGTAAGAGTGGGGAGTTTGGCAGAAACAGGCCTATTTTCCCTTCACAAAGCCATCTTTAAAACAAAACATTCACCCATAAATATATTCACTGCTATTTCATCTTGTAACATGGCAAGGAGGTACTGAACTGAAGAGGCACAGAAAAGTATACAGAGGTACAGAAATAGTATACATATATAATCATGTTTAATATATCTACGTGTTTCCTTCACCTGGAAGGAACAAACCACACAATTCATACTTTGGTCTTAGAATTCTGTACAAATTCTTTAAATCATCACAGTCATCTATATAAAGATTATCTACAAAGAGCCTGATGAAAGAAAATCTATATTAAAATCAATACTCAAATACAGAAAAGGAATCCCTTTATTTCTTTATTTTCACATACCTTGATGGATATTTTAAGGAGTAAGCAGCAGCCAGGAATCCACCTAGGTTGTGTCCAAGCAGAATCATTTTTTCTAGCCCCACCTCCTTTCTCCATTCTTCTATGGATTCCACAAACTGATTTTCTGCTTCCCGAGCATCAGTGTCAAAGTGTGGTCTACTGCTACGCCCAAATCCCAAGAGATCAAAAGCATGAACGGTCCTGTTCTCACAGAGATCTTCAAAGTTGAGAGCCCACAGTCCAACACCTCCTCCAAACCCATGCAGGAGAACAAGTGGAGTTTTATTTGAAAGGTCTGGAGAGAATGTCAGTGTCCATATTTTATTTCCATTAGATATATACACGTATCTTTTATTGTATATGCTTGCAATACCTGGAGAAAAAAGGGGAAAAAATTGTGTTGCTACACACACCTGACAAAATATAAAGTACACTCTACTGAAACCACGTTTCAAATAGGAGCTTCTTTCAAAGGAGATAGCTTCTAATCAAATATCTACATAAGTAAAAAATGAAAATGTAATTTAAAACCTGTTTATTTCATCACAGTGTGAAAGATATAATGAAAAACTTCTCTCATTACATTAAATGTTAATTTATAAAAAATCTAGTTATATCTATGAAACTTATTAAAACCCAAAGACTTACATTTTAGCATTTTGTCCTCAGCCTCTTTAAGGTGTAGCAGTGATGTGGGACACCAGGCAGGAAGCCAGCTAAATAACCATCCGAACCTACAACAGCAATACAGAATAAAAATGTCTTGAGCAGCATGTAAGGTAATTTTTGGCACTGATTCTTTGAAGACATTTCTTTTGCTGCTCTTCATAAGACAGCCCACGTTAAGTACCTGGTGTGAAGAATACTATTTTTGCAGTGGGAGGGAATTCATTTTTCCATTTTTTATAAGGTAGCATCACAAACAGGGGCATTCTTCAAAGGGTGAGCAGTTTTTCCACCATGCCCTCCTATCACAGCATACTGATCTGGAGACATGAACCCTCATATCAACCCAACTAGCTTGGCAGGATACGTAACAATCACTGGAGTTTCCAGCCTCCTCTCAAGTTACTTTGGAAGTCTGCCTGCACATGCATAACCTTGCATGAACCTATTCTTTCCAAAAAAGCTGCCTTCACCAGCCTAACCTGAACTGATTATTATTCTAAATTTAAAAAGTGAAAAATAAGCAGGTTTATCCTACCAAGCAAAAACCTAGGAGTTTAATTATGAACTTAGAAACAAAGTCCCAGAGGAAAACAAACCAGCAATTCCCTCAACAGAAGCTGCTTTTCTAGCTGTCAGTTGCTATCTTGGTACTGCCAGCTTGACCATGAGAACAGGGGGAATGACTCAGCTGGCAGCACTGCCCAGCCCAGTGTTGCAAAGGATACAGCAATTTGGTACAGCTCTTCCTGGGTGCTAATCTACCCCCTGTTTTTAAGACAGAATCTTATTTTTCCGTCTCTCAACTGCTTCTGAAGTGGCTTAGACTACCAGTGCAAAGCTGCCACTGCAGGACCATTCCTCGCAGGGAAGAGGATGTCACTCACCAAATCAACTTTCTCTAGCACTCTTTTTCTACACTGAACTGCTTTCCTGTTAGTTACAGAATTTTCAGGACTGAGAGTATTAGTTATACAACATCTAATGCTGAAAGACTATTAAGGTTACTAATGTCCAGTTTTTCAGTGTGCACAACACATCAGTAATAAATTAAAGATTGGGCCCCACAAGTTCTTTACCCAAGGCATCTTTTCCACACATTCTAAGGGGCTGACCTACTACAGCTGCATAGCTCCTTAAGTTGATGATATGACATGGAAGGTTTTATGGGAATGCACAATGCAACTGCAAGCAACATTTTTCAGATTCATAGAAACCTGTGAGGGGACATTAAGAAAAAAAGCCCCAAACCATATCTGAACAGAAAGTATTAATCATCCAATCACTCAGACCCACTGCTATTCAGTATTATTTACTCCTCTACACTGATATCTGGCTGTTCTGTAAATAACCTTCCTGACCCATCAGATCACTGGAATTGCTCTAAGGAGGGACCACGGGAATTGTTTTCATCATTTTAATTGTGGGGCTGGGAACAGATGTTTGTACATCCTTCCATGCCATGTGCTCATGCAGTCTAAGAAATGAAGGAACTTAGCACCTTATAGGAAAACGGGCATCCAAGTATTCTGCTTCCACATTAAACTATGCATTTATTTAAAAGTAAGATCTTTAAGAAGTTAAAGCTGGGACAAGCCAGAAGTAATTTCACCCACAAGTAACCGTGAAATCCGAGTTTAACAACAACACTAATTGTGTCCAGAGCTATGAATTACTCTGGTAAATTATTAAAAAACAGCTAGGTCACCACTCCTCTGAGTCAAGCTTTCAGCTAGTTACATGCTCAACTAGGCATTTTCATTCTTAACTCTTGGGTGAGAAACAAAACCAGTCACCATTTCCCTTAAGCTGAAACTCAATGTACTGTTTCTTCTCAGAAAAACCACTACATCAGCGATCTTATTTATTTATTCACAGAAATGTAAAGCTGCAACATATCAACAAGAAAATAGTACAGGGATATGGCCACAATGAAATAGAAGTGATGTCTACAGATCACAGTCCCAGAACTCTATTTCCTAGACTTAGGGAGGCACCTGGATACTTAAGAAAATTATTTAGGAAAACATATCAGAATGGTAAAGTTGCCCACTCCTTCTTTTGTTACTTACAAGAACTGTTTACAAATACTTAGATTTTAATTCAGAAGAGGCATTGCATACATGTACAGTTTGACAAATACAGTTAGCAAGCTGAAGCTTTTAAAATTAAAACTATGTTTGCAATTCTGTCCTGTTGTACTTGCTGAACTAAAAGAGTAAGCGGTAAAGGCTTTCAGACAAAAAAAAGTGAGTATTTTTTAGACATACTATTTTAGGAAGAAAATATTTTGTTACCTATAGTCAAGACTTAATCCTTTGTTTGCCTCCTTCCAGAAAAGATTTACTACATCGCTAGATGCTTTCCACACATGGAGAACAAACATTCATTTAATTATATTTGAATATTTTTTCTGATAACTTTGGAAGGCTACAGTTGTATCATTTCTTTTGTACATCTGTGCTAAATGTGTCTTCTAAATGCATACAGGAACCTCCATTGCTTACATGGTCTATCATTATTATTTCTGTGATATAAAGTCGTAAGTGCTACATAATGTCAAAAATGAAGCAATGGACCTTTCAAAACAGTGTGCACACCAGCAATGGAGATGAGTTATGGAAGAAAACAAAAGATTCCAGCAGTAGCTCCACTTTGAAAGTGAGCTACCCACTGCCAGAAGAGGCAGACCCCACATTGCTCTCATCACCCACCACTTCCCTTACACTCTGTTCCCACCTGTCTTTTTGTAAAGTCAAGAGCAGAATCTTGTATTTTGAGGAGTTAGGAGGTCCACTGGCCTGAGCTGCTTGCTAGTTCAGAAAGTGGGAAATAAATCTGGCAACTGACAGCCCAATTTTTTGTAATTTTTTACCAAATGTACTTACAGATGTTACATATCAAATTACCAAGGCACATAACCAGTGGAATTTAACCTGTGTGTGTGTTTGTGGCCATGTAGTAACATAACCCATTGTGCACATCCACGCTAAAATAATCAATAACCAGCAGTAGGGCAAAGCATTACATAGGGTGATTCCTTGCATCTTCAATTTGGGGTTAGTTACATTCTTCACATCCATCTGAAAATGCCTGGAGTAAGAGAGGCTGGAAAAATCAGAGGCTAGCAGGTGGGGTGGCTGCTGGCCTGCCAGGCATTCAAAGAAATCACTCTCTCTTGCCAACAGACCTCTACACACACTTCCACACTTGTTCTAACACATCTAGGGAAGGAGACCAGAAGGTAAGGGAAAGCCCTGGAGACACCCACTGAATGACCTTAGCGAAAGCCAAGGTGATTAGTGTCAGCCTAGGAGATTAGTGGGGACCATCAGTAGCCTATGTTGATGATTAAACACCGTAATAAATAATGCAAACAAAAGGGACACATGCACAAACATCTGACTAAGTGGAGCCGCAACCACCACAGGCAGGGGCCAAGCCACCAGGCAGGATCTAATACATTGGCTGGTTGGAGCAAGTGTTCTGAGACCATGCTTGCAAGCATAAGAAAGGATAAAAATAAATAATTATTACTATATTTTGACACTTAATGAGTGAATAAACATTGTGTTAAGTGTAGCTCAGGGTAATACTGCTTGTCCTTGGATGCTTGAAGGTTAATTTGAATCAAGATCTTACTGTCAGCACTGCTTGAATTGCCTGAGAGTAACTTTCAAAAGAACTGAGAATCAAATAGAGGCAGAAGTACAAGTGAGCCTGACCCACCCATTCACCTCCACTACTCAGATCAAACCAAATGAAGAATGTGGGAAATTGGTTGTACCACCAATTTTGGAGCTTTCTGTCAGCTCCATTAACCCAACTCAGCTTGGTGAGAATTGACTCCATGCAACACAATTAATGGATCTGCAGCCAGTCACAAATACTCACAAAAAGTTTGTGAAAACTTAAGATACTGCTGAAGAATTGAAAACATACATTCTAACAATGAGGTATGTACTGAAACAGCTGAGCAGTCTATTTGATTTCTGGCTTGTAGTGTGGATTTAAAAAATGGAAGCTCTATCACATAAAAATATTCAGCAGAAGTTGCTTATAACTCTATCCAGGAGATATAAATGTACAGAAATGGAGCTCATTCTCTCCCTTTTCAAGCTTACAATTTACCTACATTAAAGTTATATGAATGCATGGCTTACAAGATGTAGCAAGCTTGAAACCATTCAATGGAGGCATCTCCCCACATACACCAGCATTGCAGACCTAGCTGATATGACCCATGGAAAGTCTGTGGGGCAGAACAGCAAACCAAAAACCCTGGGGTTTGCAAACAGGTTGCAAAAAGGTAACAGAATTCCTCCAAAGCAGAGTAAACAAATACAATACCCTTTGCTACATGATTACCTGTCAAAAATTTCTGACCCACCAAGACAGGACATGCAAAAACCTTTCTAAGGTGTTGAATATAAAATCAGCTTTTCACTAAGAATTTTGAAGTCAGTATGGTAATCAAAATTCCCAGTACAGACCAAAAACCATGCAGCAGTGACAGGAGCATGGAGAACAGATTTTCCTGTCACAAAGAATTATTTGGACTTTAAAATTACATCAGTAAGGAAGCCAGTGCTCAGATTATACAACAAATACACAGCAACTTGTGAAGGAAGGTTTATGGGAAAGTAACCGAATGCACAAGCAACAGAGCTGCACATCTGTTTGTCTTCCTCTCAGGAAACAAATGCATTTAATATTTTTAATTGAACTTTTGCAGACAATATTGCAAACTACCAAGATTTTAGCTAGGGAGCAAGCTCAAAAAGGCTGAAACATAGAGCGAACTACTTCAAGCTTTACCCTTTACCCTTAAATCTTCTTAGAATGAAGTTGATCTCTGAAAAACCCTAACCCCCACCTCTCCTGACTCTCAGAATTAATTTCAACCATTTAGAAGTAAGTAAGGACAGAAAAACAAATTAATGCAGAGAATTTGGTACTGTTTCTGCCCAGCACCAAGAGGAATGGCATTGGGATTTTCAGGGTCTTTCAGCTGACAATGCAGCTATATAAGCACCCAGCAATTTGAGCTAGCTCCACTTTAGGAGAC